CTGTCAGCTTAGTCATCTTGAATCATTTCTCTAGAACAATTCCCAGCTGTTAAGGGAGGAGAGCACCTAGTGAGTGCCTGCCAGTTGGGAAATAAGAAATATCTCAGTGTGGGAAGGTCACAGAATTAAGGCTTTTAGAGAGCAGTGCAGAAGTGCTAAGGTCTTCATGTTCTGTTGTTGCCCTGTAACAAAAGCCAAATGAGTATTTGCTCACCAAAACTTACTCATTGTCCTGCTTGTATCAGTAAATAGTTTCTATCAGCCTCCTGTGACTGATTAAGGTCTGCTTTTGCAAATGGAAATTATATTACCATAAATCTAAGCTACACTTTCAATAAAACGCCATTTTCTGAACAAATTGAACAGTGAGATTATGTTAGTGGTGTTTGCCTTTGCAGACAGGGCAGTGCCTGTAGGGGGTTTCTGTTGCATTTCAGTACTGGTAACTTCTGGAAATACGAGTGTGTGTGTGTGTGTGTATGTATAGGTATGTAAATATGTATGTATATATTTATGTTTATTTATTTGTTTATTTGTGCCCTTTTCATGACAAGCTGAGAAGTTAAGGCTGTGTAGCTGGTGAAGGGATGCAATTACACTTTTATCACTCCTTCTTCCCACCCTTAAGGAATGTCAGCCAAAATGTGAATGTTACTTGGAAATTTGTGGAATGGCTGGAATAACTGAAGTATGACTCCTGCTAAGAGCCATCGTGGGCGTGGATGGGGAAATAAACATAGCACTTCAGTAACAAGATCAGTTCTTGTCCTTTGCTATACTTCTATATTAGTTGGAGTTGAATTTCTTCCTCTGCAAGAAGCATATCTAGCTATGGTTGGAACATGCCTTTCAGGGAAGTAGGAAGATGTGACTGGGGAGGGGGGAGTTTATTCCAAGCCTGAAGATAAATGTCTTTTAGCATGCCTCTTGCAAGGTCTTGGGAGATCATAGCACCTCCTTGCCTCAGAATAGAGAGATTTGGTTTTTTCCTATTACACAGTAAGTTGGAAGATGCTTGAACACATCATAGCAGCCCTGAAAATTAGCCTGAAACTAAAAGCAAACCAGCTCCCTAACATATTTTTCTTTTAGAGATGAGATATTCTGAGAGTGTTTCCTTGAAACAACTTTAAAAATGCTCCAAAGTTTTCTGAAGTTGACATTTCTATCACTTCACACTCCAAGAGGAATGCTTCCAACAAGTGACATTTTCCCCCAGTTTCATTTGTTACACAGCTAATGATGTCCCTGTGTCTCCAGGATTGTTTCCTGTGATAAAGCTGTGGGCTCCTGCCTCTTTCATTCTTGTGACATAGGTGAGATGAAAGATAACAGACAACAATGTGAGGAAGAGTATCTAGGAAAGTATAACCAACAGCTGGGGTCATAAAGGAAAGAGTGTCTTTGTTGCCAGGGGTGATGCTAAGTGTAAATCAAAACTAAACTACTTTTTCCTCTGTGAAAGTCAAATGTGCAATTTGGGCTTGTCCCCTAAGTGGACAGAGTTATAAAGTACATTTGAATCTAGCCTAATATAGGCTGTATGGTGTATTTTAGAGGTAATCTGTAGAAAGGGATTCCACATACTTCAAATTGTGTGCTTCATCTTGGAGGGACTCCAGAATGTTGGGAGGTCCCGTGTGTAAGCTGCTCAGTGGACCTGCAGCAGTGTGTTGCACCTGTGTGTTTCTGGGCAAGGTGCAGCAGCATGAAGTTCAGTGTAAGCCTGTCTGCCTCTCTTTACAAACAGGTTTGCTACACTCCTTCCTTGGACTGATTTTGGAAACCCTGAGGTAGCCAAGATAAAGCTCTGCACTGCAGTCAGACAGACAGGGCTTGTTCCCTTTGTTCAACTCCTCTGGTGCTGTAGCACTGAGAGGCTGAAAATTCTGAGGCCATAGTGAAAACTCTGTGCCTGAGCATGCAAGTGCCTCCTTCTGAGCTCTTTGCATTAAAGTAAACTGCAGCTTTCACTATATGGTAATGTTTTATCCTTCCCTGGCAATATCTTTCTAGAACTTCATAAGTCTTCTCACAAACCAGGAACTTAATATTAAGAAACAAATCCAAAGAATATTTTTCCTTTTGTAGCTGATCAATAGACTGATATGGCGATATGTTTTAAAATCCTTAAAAGAGCAGCTGTTTTACACCACTTCTGTTTCTGAATCATGAACAGTTTGTGTTGATTGCAGTGCTTAAGGCACTAACTTTTGCTGATACATCTATCTAGTGTATAGTGCTGTTGCATCCTAAGGTTAACATTTAAATCATAAGCAATGTTTATTTTGTTTAAAGAAAATCAATAATCAAAAAGGCAGTGCTGCCTTGGGATTTTTCCCCAAACAAGAGACTATATTTCAAAAATGTTGGAAGTGAAAATGGCACTAATTTAGGAGAAGCTGGCAGCCATCGAAACATCACAAGCAGTAGAGGAGAAAAGTGATATGGAGCAAACTTGTAACTACCAGGCCAGGGATGGGGCCCATAATGGCAGTGTCATGTTCTGTGAGGTTTTTTCCCCCAGTGTAGAGTTCAAAAGCAAGAATTGATTTATTGATGGTACAAAGCTTCTTGTTAGATGGCCAGCCTAGCAAATACTTAAAAAGTCATTTTTACATAAAGATTGACTATTAACTTATGTGAAGAAAGGCTTTGCTTTGTAGTATAAAGATCCTGTAAAATTGTACATGTGCCATCTGCTGAGTAGATTTGGACTAGTATGGTTGCTGTTCATTTAATCCACCTGACAATGGGCATTAGTACTGTGAAAAGGATAGAAACAGTAACATTAACTTGCATGAGCCTCTGAGGCAGAAGAGGACAGGACATCTTTTATTTCATCTGAGGGTGTTAAGACAGGATGAAAGTCATAAGCATTTCCATGTTGGCTTTTACCTCAAACTGCTGGAGTTTCTCAAATGAAAATTGTTCTACACAGTCTAATAACTGCATTCTAACCTAAGGGACCTATGTATGAAAGAGAAATTGTCTTCCTGGTGCTGTGAAGCCTAAGTAACTTTTTAAGGTTATTAGGAATCTTTTTGATGAAGTCCCACATGTGATAAAGTATTGTCTTTTTTTTGCCTTGTTTTTGCATGCAAAACCTTTTCATTATTTTGAGTCTTCAGATTTGTCTCACAGCTTTGTTTTGTGCTGAGAGCAGAAATTAGGCTACAGATTAAGGAGACTTTAATGACAATTAGATCCAGATATCCTGAAGTTTTATAGATAACTATGTTCTCCCACCCCCAACAGAGGATAATTAAGAACTTTTTTATATTTCTTGTCCAAGGAAATATATGTGTATAAATGAATGTGTGCAAAGGTGTTTACTTAAGATATGAGGAGCCAAAGGCAAAGTTAAATCTATAATACTTTTAGTATTTTTTTAAAGTTAAACACACTTTGCAAGCTTATTTTACTTCTCACTTTTAAAATAAGTTTTTTCTTCTCCTTGCATTGTTGAAAACATTTTAACTGGAGAAATAACACATTAGTAAAATTTTAAGCAAAAGCACTCACAGGATTTGCTTTAAAAATAAAATGACTTCTGAACTGTGCACTGGATTTCCAGGCAGAAACATGGGAGCAGGCTGTGCAAGTATGCATAACTAATGTGAAATGAAGCTGTTCTTTAGGACTGACCTCCTTGAGTTTGAAGGCAACATTGTTCTATCCCAAATGGTAATTTCTTCCTCCTTTAAGTGGGAGGAATCGGAGCCTTTTTCATTAACTTTGTAGAGGCTTCTGTGTATACAGACAGAGGGTGGATAATTAATGGAAAGGGATGGGGGGCAAGAAAGAAGGAAAAAACCCCAAAACATATCTGAACAAAAAGAGGTCATCTATACATTGATATATCATCTCATAATGCCTCTTGTTGCCCATGAAAAGAGGCACAGGTGCATAGTGTGGTTGTAGACCCTTTCCCTGTAGATAACTACAGGTAAGTGACAAATGCCACCTCAGTAACAAAGCTGTCCTTCAGAAGGAAATCTACAATGCACACTCAAGCCCTGCAGATTTAGCAGTCTAATGTGCATCTGGAAAAAGCTCTTTGGAATTGTTGCATGATGGTTGGTTAATGACAGTAGAACTGTCAGAGCTGGGAGAGGGGAAGTAGTGTGTAGTGAGCTAAACTGCAGGAGGCACAGTGTGCCCTGTTAAGATTTTGCTTATGCTGGTGACCAGAAGCTTAAATTTACTGTGTAAGATGGAGTCAGGAAGGATCCCTTCCTCACTGAGTTTCAGTAATTCAATGTCCAAGGAAGAAATCCAGCAAGGGAAGTTATATGAACACAGCAACCAACAAGTACAGCAGCTCTCTCTTCAGCATCATCCCTGAACCGATAAACTGAGTGTGAAGGTTTTGGAGACGCCTGAGGGCAGGAAGATGTAGTAGTCAGGCAGTGTACAAGGTAGATCTGAACAATGGAATTTGCTGTTGTCGTAAAAGAAGGTGAGACTATAGGAGATAAGGAGGTGGAGAGCTTTTAACTATGCATGAAGAATTCAGGTCAGGGGGAAAAAAAGCAAATAATAGTATGTGACAGGAAGAGACAAGTGGAGAGAGGAGGGAAATTTAAGGAAGAAGGTTATGTGTAACAGTTTCACAGGGATTTCTGTAAGAACTTCTAATTTTGTTTTCTGCTTTCCAGTGGTACACCTGTTAGCCTAGCTGTTGACTCAGAAAAATGAGTTAGATGCAGCATATAGGAAGGGAAATATGCATAAATTCTGTCTAATTATTGTCTTTGGAATGTGCTCGCTTCATTAGCCTGGGGAACTGCATCCATTCAGCTCTTCCAGTAACTCACCAAGCATCAGGGGCTGGCAGGAGGAGTATTGACTCTTGTTTTACCCCAGTATTGGGTGGGGAGGCTCTGCTAACACCTGAAATATGCTTTGGAACAAGTCAACAACCTTGTATATGTCACTTTTAGCCAATTATTTAATTCTGTACAAATTTACCTAACTGTTCTTTTTTTTTCTTCCAGTTACTATTTCTTCAACTGCCGAAAAAGGTAATTTTTTGAAGTTTCTATGAAGATGTGAGTAGTTGCTTTGCATGCAAATCCTAAGGGACATAGAGTTTAAATGTGCTCCTTAATGTGTGAGCTCTTGTGTGGTGAGTAGATTAGTGCTAAGAAACAAGGTAAATATTGTTTTGTTTCTAATACCATAAACTTGGGATGATGACAAGACCTGTGACTAATCCAAGTAATGCAACTTATGATTTAAGTTTGCATTTATTTTTAAATGGGTACCTACTAAGAACAGAAAAAGGAGAAGAGAGAAGGAACTGCAGCACATCCACAATTCCATTTTCTGTTTAGGCCTGTGACCTGAAAGATTTCTGGAAGAGGGTGAATTGTTGTTGTACTGCTTAATATTTTCCAAAAAGCTCACGAAATTCCTCAGAACTCCATTCTTATGGAGTAGTTAGAATTGTGCAAAACACAACCATTTCAAAAATGGCTACACATTATAATTTTAAATTTCCAGGTCAAGTGTTTGAGGCTTTATATTGAGAAATTTTAATCTTCATATTGGTTTTAGCAAGTATGAGCCACAGTGGATAGTAGTACACAGTGATAGAGTTAAAAACAAACCAAAAAAAATTCTAGCGTATTTTTGCTGGGATATTTGTTTGGGAGTTTATTCCAGTTTATGGGGGAACATTAGAGGTAGATTAAGCACAGATTTGCACTTTAATTATCCACAGAGGGTTGTTTCAGACTGGTAAAAGCTCTCATCTCTTAAATATTTTGCAAACGAGCACAGAACTGGAAGCTAATCTAGCAGTTTTCTTCCTGGTGAATGTCTACCAGAACATTGTAAAAAGAAGGAATCTTGATGGAATTTGTTGGTTTTTAATTTCTAATGGAGACCTGAAAGAGTAGGAAAATCTTCAAAATAAACTGTAAGCCATTTAAGATGTGAGTTTGTGTTACACTGGATTTTTTTCATCCTATTTTACAGCTGGGCTTTACCTTGACTTCAAAAAATTCTGCAAGTTGCTGCTGTACTTACTGTTGACCTGTACATTAATAATAATAAGTTTTACTTTTTATTAAAGTAATAAGTTTTACTTTCCAATTTCTTCTGGAAAAGCAAGAGTCATGTATCAGTTAAGGAAGTCTGGCAGAGCAATGTTTGTGTCACACAGTCAGATCTCTATTTCAAATGCAGTGTCTATCTGACTGGAACAGGTTCTTCTAAATCTACCAGAGAAGGGAAGATGTGAGATTTATTAATGAGAGTGACAGTATCACTGGAACCTGTTAGGCTTTTAATAGCTGTCACCTGCATGCTGCTTGCACCTCCCATTCTGAATCATGTCATAGGCATGAATTTATCAACTATGAAAGTTGATTTTAAAATGACATGTGAAGTCTTTTTTCATTTTAAAAGAAAGCTGCCGTAAGTTTTCTAAAGTTCTTATAAGCCAGCTCATGGTAACCAGAAATTGCCATCAGAAGAGTTGAAAGACCAAAGTACCAGAAACATTACTATGTAAATCAATAATGTGCATCTTAGCAAGTGTGCTTTGCTCCATATTTCAGTGTAATAAGTAGTGCAGAAAAATTATTTTAATGTAATGACAACTTTTGATTAAATTAGTGGTGATTTCTTCACCCCGTTAAGGCTCATTTTTTCTTTGTAATTTTATATTCTTGTCTAGTTTTATATCCATCAGGACAGAGGAAGAAAGTCAACTCTGAATCTCTATTAACAGTGTATTATACTGATGTTATATATTATTGCCTCTCTGTAATCTGACTCTGTCTTGAAAGTAGTATTAAGAATGATTCAGAAAAGAATGTTAAGGGCAAATCTCAGGAGAGTGTAGCATATTTTAGGAGACTTCTGAGAGCATGTCTTAAGACATTGTCTTCTTGAGGCCATAAATTTGTTATAGTATGCATCAGTGCGTTTTGAAGAGAACTGATATCACTAGATCACAGCATGGCACTGAGAATCCTGGGTTTCCTTAGTTTAACCAGTACTTCCTTGTGACTCTGAGTCTGGCTAAACTGGTAGATACTGGGGTTTGAGGTTTAATACCCAAAGTGATGGATAGATGGACTGCTAAAGTGAAGCTGTTAAAAATGGTATCTTCCCTCCCTCTCATTTCCTGGGGAGCAGTGACAGGACAGTTATGCGTAATCACAGTAGGAAAGGCAGCATGGGTGTAGGAAAAGAAGCAAGAATTTATTCAGAGAGAAGCCACTATGGACTGCCAGTTGCAGGGTCTTTGCCTGGGTGGTGCCCATCAGTGGCTACTGACTATTGGCCCTTGGTTTTAATGATGGTGACAGATTGCAAGAGCTCAGTTATATGAAAAGCACTTTAATAACATGCCTATATCTATTAAATCCTGGTAGCACTGGCACAGATCTGTACCGTGATGCAGCTGGCTGTGGTCCCTGTTATTCTGTGGGTTTTAGGGGTATTTACAGTCTGTGACAAAGCGTTGAGGTTCTGCTGTGTGACGCATTGTGTGTACACTAAAAATAATCCTTCAAAAGCCTCTGAATTCTGGTGTGATTTTTATGGACAGAGTAGAACTGTTTACTGTGTAAGTTAGTTTTGCTGTGCCTTGCCCTCCCCTGTATCTCATTTCCTTTTTCCTTCTATTCAATTTCTCTTGCCCTCTTCTCCACCAAAGTTCTGATCTGTGCCACTGATTCCACTCCAGTTTTATGTCCTTTTCTCTTTGCTTCCAAAGCATTTTCTCATTCTTTAATTGCTTAACCACATTGTGTTTCAATGTAGAATATGCTTTTCATAACAGACAACTTCTAATAACACAGTGCCTACTACAGTAATACACAAGTTCTTCCCTGTTGGGCAACCGATTTAGAGGGCTTTAGAAAAGGGTTTTGTTTCTGGCATTTTCCATCAGCTCCACAGCTGAAAATTTGCCAAGTCTGCCTATGAGGTTAGAGGAGTCACAGGCAAAGGTAAAAATAATTCTCTGACAAAAGCTCAAATGCAATTTGTTTGTTTTCATTGCAATAAACAGTGAAAATCCTGAAAGATTATAAATTAAAGCTATGTCTTCTGTCACTGTGCACAAGCATTTTCTGAGCTGTTGGAGGTTCCCAAAGTTTTGAGACTTTTTTGCTATCCATTAAGTATATCATACAGCTTCTTAAAGTACTCTATCTGTACAGAAAAGTAGGTCAAATTTCCTACTTTACTGCAACTGAAGATAATATAAATGAAGATAATATAAATTTTAATGTGACTTCTCTATGATTTGCTGTTCTGGCACAACTGATCTGTTTCCTCTTGACAAGTGATAAAATAAACCATTAGAGGAAACAAGATTGGAAGGAACTTCGTGGGTCATAAGGTCTGCATTTCTGGTCTTTAAGACAGCAATATCATGTATACTCATAGAAAATTTATTGAGGTCCCTCCTAAACCCAGCTACATTCTTTAGTCACTGTGACTGTAATAGGACTTTTCCTGCTTGTATTTCTCAGATGATTTGAGAGAAGATAGTAAGAAAATCTTTAACTCACTCTGGCATGACTGGAGTGGAGTACTCTCCAAATCCCTTTTTGAGGATTTTAACTGTCATTCATGACCAGTGCCTTCTGTAATGGCACAGTACTGTGCTGTTTCTGTTAGAAGTAGAAATTAAATTGAATTATGTAGGTCAGTAAGTAATCAATTACTTTGTGATAATCTGGAACAGAATTACAGCATCATCTTTATCCAAGGTTAGTCACTTACATGCCAGAAGTGAAGCTGTGTTCAGTTCTGAGGTTTGGGGTTTTTGTGTTTGGGGTTTTTTGGTTGGTTTGTTTGTTTTGGAGAAGAGGGTATGGTTTTGTTTTGTGGGGGCCTTTTTCAGTGGTGTATTTTGTTTGATTGGTTTTTGGGGGGTGGGTTTTGTCAATTTGTTTTCTCCTGCAAAATCTGCTTTGGAAAGTTCAACAAGGTCCTGCACATGAGTCAGGATAATCCCAAGCACAAGTACAGGCTGGGCAGAGAATGGATTGAGAAGCAATCCAATCTGGGGGGAAAGACATGGGGATGTTGGTTGATGAGAAGCCCCACATGGCTCAGCAGCATGTGCTTGCATCCCAGAAAGCCAGTGGTGTCCTGGACTACATCCAAAGCAGTGTAGGCAGCAGGGCCAGGGAGGGGATTCTGCTCCTCTGCATTGCTCAGACCCCACCTGCAGGGCTGCATCAGCTCTGGGGTCACAGCACAGGAAGAGCATGGACCTATTGGAGCAAATCCAGAGGAGGCTACAAAGATGATCAGAGGAATGGAGCACCTCTCCAGCTGAAGACAGCCTAAGGGAGCTGTGGTTTTATTATCTTGGGGAAGTCTCCAGGGAGACCTAATAGCACCTTCCAGTACCTGAAGTGGGGGACTACAGGAGTCCTGGGGAAAGACATTTTACAGGGACATGGAATGATATGGCAAGGGGAGAATGACTTCAAACTGAAAGAGGGCAGGTATAAGTTAGGTGTTAGAAAGAAATTCTTTATTGTGGGAGTGGTGAGGCAGCAGCAAAGGTTGCCCAGAGAAGTTGTGGATGCTCCATCTCTGGAAGCATTCAGGGTCACTTTGTAATCTATAATAAAAACATTATTTCCTTGAGGAAGATCAGCTATAACATTTGGGGAGTGAGGGTGGGTGTTCATTTAATTTCTTTTAAGTGAACATTTCTAGAGTACTAAGTGCAGTTGTTTAGCCCTCCTCAAAGATCAAGGGGTTTATTTTTTGTACTTTTCAGCTGTATTCACCAAATTCTTATTTGTATTTTATTGCAGTTGTCTACCTTGTAGTTTTTCATCTGTCATTCGTCATGTTTGTATGGTCCTATGGGAAGACAATTTTCACATCTCCTGCAACCCCCTCTAATGAGGTAAGTATAATGTTATGAAAATGTCAGTGCCTTTTTTTATAAATAGCTGAACTGTTTTCAGTGATGAAATTTGTTTGCAGTACTGCATGATTCACCTTTCCCTTCTCATTGTCTAAAATAGAACAGCATGACAGTGTATCAGGAATGAAAATGAACAAGTTAATCTTAAAATACCATATGCTTTGTGTAATGACATTTCCTTATACGAAATGTGTGCTTAAACCATCAAAAGTTTAGCAGTCTTGTACAGTGCTATGCTATGAAGTAGCTTGCTTGAAATCTGGATTTTTTTAAAACTGGTAAATGAAATACAGTGACAGCATTTTTATGTTTCCTTTTTAGGCAGTTTGAATATTGTTCGACTAAGAAAGGGTAGTAATGCTACGTATACTTATGACCTGGATGACTGAACCCACTTTTTAGTCAAGGGTTAAAGTTTAGGAACACTGAGATATGTCTACACAAAGAAGCTGTATATAATAGCGAAAGAATGCATTATGAAGTTTTGTTTTTAAAAAGAACCATATTAATTCCAATAAGCCTGAGATGGATTACCTTGTTTTCCATTTTCTCTAATGTGTGTGTATGTAAGGATTAAATACAGGCACTGAATTTAAAATATTGCACTTCTCTTCCTTGTGTTAACAGAGCTTTTAAACTGCCTAAACTGTTTGAGGTGTTGGCTGCTCTGTGGGGGTTGAGTTTTTATTCTGTTTTCAGCAAGAGTGACATCCAGTGCTAATGTCAACCTTAAACATTCTTGAGACGAGTTATTCATGTTATTCACAAACATTCTTGTGACATGTTTTGAAGAAAAAAGCAAACACTGCTCTGTAATGCTTAATTATGACTTAGAGGTCTGTATGTTAAAGTTATAGAATATAAAGTGATAACAGCTAAACACTATTCTGCTGTTTAACTAAGCAAAAAGTCTAAATGCAGCTGTTGAAGCTGGAGCACCAGCTGTTGGTCTGGAGCACAAGTCCTATGAGGAGCAGCTGAGTGACCTGGGGGTGTTTATTCTGGAGAAAAGGAGGATCTCTGTAACTGTCTGAAAGGAGGGTGCAGCCAGATGGGGGTCTGTCTCTTCTCCCAGGTAACAAGCGATAGGACAAGAGAAAATGGACTCAAGTTGCACTAGGGGAGGTCTAGATTGGCTATTAGGAAAAATTTCTTCACTGAAAGGCTTGTTGTCACAAGCACTGGAACAGGCTGACCAGAGATGTGGTTGTATCCCCATCCCTGGAGGTTTTAAAACATTTATAAATGTGGCATTCGGGGATGTGCTTTAATGGTGGACTTGGCAGTGTTGGGTTTATGGCTGGGCTTGATGACCTTAGATATTTTACAGCGTAAATGATTCTATGAATTGCTAAACCTAAAAATTCAAAGGGATTTGTCTTCAGGGTAATTTGGTTTTGCTTTTTCAGGAAAATGGTTGAATTAAGCAGGTTAACTAGTTAAAACATGGTCAAAATGGTGTTATTCTAGGTTTTATAAAGCTATATGAACTAGAGCTGCTCTTAATGCTAATGCCTAGTAACTTTTACTGTCTTCTTAAGTTCTCCATTAATAGCAAACTTATTCTGACAGTACTTTTCCTGTAGTTACAGTGATGATGTTGCAGGCTTTTGTATTCAGCAAGTGAAAGGGATGGCTTGGGCATATGGCATGTAATGAATTTTTTGTATATTAACTGTGGAGAGAGATCAGATTTAATAAAATTTTCTTCTACAGCTGGCTTTAAGTTAAAAAAGAAAAAAAAAAACTCTTCCATCAGGACAACAAAAAAACACACTTAAAAATTTAAAAAAGCAAAAAAACAACCATATTTAAAATTCAGCACCACTTTTTCTGTTTCTGAGCAGATCCCTTCTGTTCATGTACTAGTGAGTAATTTATGCCATTTATACTTAGAGATACCTGACTTCAGTATCTCTCCATTGTGTGAGAGTGTAAATATATATATTTTTAATCATTCAAATTGGCCATTCTTGCAAAACAAATAGCATCCTGTGATCTTACTATTGAACTAAAATAAAGATTCTTCAGCTGCTGTTGTCTTAGTGTAATCCCTGTGCATATGCCCTAAGAAAGAACAATCAGCATTATACAAGATCCAGAAAGAGGAAGGAAACAAAGGGATTCTTTCTGTTTTCAGTAAGAACTGCTGGAACCTCATTGGGAATTCTGTTTGCTGTGTGGTAGCAGACAACTTTTGATGCCTTTGAACATATCCTGCTATTGTCTTGAGAAGCTGTGGTCTCATAGCCCTATTAAGTTCTGAAATTAGAATAGAAATGCAGCTTTTCGGAAAACCAAAATCCTATCCAGGATTTTTGGAGTAATATTATGATATTACATGACAAATTTAAAGAGTTTTGTTGGGTTCCTTTTCTGTACACGAATGCTTTGCCTTGAAATGTCATATAGAGGGAGTACTCATGTTTCCTGCAACCTCTGCTTGATTGCAGGTCACAGAGATCTGGGTCACCTGGCAGACTCATAGGGGTAGTAGGGATTAAGGTGTATTGCACTACTGTTTGCTGGAATGATGCTTCACATCTCTCTTAAACTTTTGATGTGAGTGTCTCCATTTTTCATGCTTGAATAAATATCGATATGAGTGGTTAAATTTAAATAATTAGGTCAAACTCTTGGTGATGGCTGAAATGTTAAACTTTAATTTCACCCTTCACATAGATTAATTCTAGTGTCTGGTTATTTAAAAGGGTGTTTCATGTTTCACACTTGAAGAGTATGTAGGTGCAATAAGTGGGATGGTACTACATGTGACAGGAGACCTAACTAGATCCTGTGAGCTGTGAGGCATCTTGCTTGCATTCTGGGTTAGGAAATAGCAGCAGAAATTGCAGCAATGTCTTACTGCTTCCTCCTTGCTCTAAGTGGAGTCTTCCTTGTTGCTTGCCAACTGACTGTAATCCAAAAGAGGAAAAAGTACAGGATGAGAGGAAAATCCATGTGAACTAATCATGCACATGTTTTTGGTCGGAAAATGCGATCATATTAAACCACACTAAGCCAGTTTTTGTTCCAGCTGCACACATAGCATTTTCCACTCTCTACCATGAATGCTTTGTCTATGTGTGCTCATAAAGAGGGCTCTTGTAGTCCATGCAGGAAGCTCAGAGTTTAGAAGTGCTTTGGAACAGAAAAATACCAAAGGAAATCATCATTTCGGTCCCCACTGCACCGAGCCTTGTCAGTATGCTGGGTTTTGTGGGGCTTGCTGGGAAATACTGTTTCAGCAGATACCAAACTAAGTGTTTCACAAATGAATAAAAGCTCTCCAGGATTTTCTGGTAAACACTTACATTTCAGTGAGGTTTCAACAGGAATGCTTGTCAGGCTTTACTCGGAATTGTAGCACATTCTCAAACTGTACAGTTGCTTTCAATACAATTTAAGAATTTTGAGACTAGTGTTGACTACTTCTGAGTTAAAAATCCAGTTAAACTCTTCCAGCTTCTGTGCTGGAGCTGTGAAGCTCACCACATCCTTTGCCTGCCTTTTTTTTCCCCCATCTGATTTGTACCCCTCTCTGTGTTAGATAGGAAGTGGGATAAGAGAACTTCAGTGCCTTGTAGCAGCAAAGGACTGTTGCACCTTCCTCTTGTTCACAGTTCACTTAAATTACGCTTATCATGAATTAAAGGAAAGTTTGTACCTTAAAATTCACTCTGTGTTCCCTTGTGTTGAAGAGAAAATACTATAGATAATGGAACAGAGATAAAGATTATTTTCTTGAAAATACATCCAGAATACATCCAGAAACTTAGGAGTTCTAAGGATCTCCCGTAATTCCTGTAGCATTCTTTTTCTTGTTTATGTGGTGCTTTTGGGTCAGTGAATGAGAACACCCAAAGGGTCTTTTCTTTCGAAAGCAAAGTAGTAATTAATCTTTCCCCTCCTATCCATTTTCTATATCCCTCTTAGTTCTGCTTGTCAAAAGCTGATAAAGAACAATATGAAAAAGAAGAGAGACCAGAATCCCAGCAGGAGATTTTAAGAAGAGCTGCCAAAGACTTGCCTATCTATACGACAACAGCATCGAGAGGTGAAATATAAAGATAATTGTATGCTCTTGAAGTTGGTGTTTTATTCATTTGTTGCCACTGAATGAACAATATATTAAGGACATATTACAAATGCTGTGATGTTTTGTAATTTGTTTGCCCTGGTGTTTAATCCTCCTGAGAGAAAGAGCAGTCCTTTTTCTGGGGTTCTCAACATAAAGCCACTACTTGAAATTTAAAAAAAAAATATATCTTCTAGCAAGAAGAGAGATGACGGCAGTTATCTCCAGCTGTGGCAATTAAAGGTAAACACAGCAAATGAATATAGCTAAGATAGCTTGAAAAAAGGAAAATCAAATGTGTTGCTCAATTTTATAATCACTGTTATCCTCAATTAAACTTTTCTTTTTGAGTTGTTTTGGTTCAGCATGAGGAGAAACATACTTAAGCTCTTAACATACTTTTGTAATTTAAAAACAATTAAATGTTGTTTCATTCCCATCTGCAATGCAGTACAAATCTAGTTAGGGACTGTTTCTGGATTTGCTTTTATTATATGTAGGCATTTTATTCCAATTTATAGCTTAATGTTCTGTGAAAGTGCTGTCTTATGCATATGTATATTCTTTAAAAATCTGTAGCTTTTATATGTGTAGTATCTTTTTCTCTTTCTTGAAACTCGCAACACTATAGAGTTTCTAAGAATGTAAACTTCTCAGAATAACCATTGCCAAAGTTTACTGTGACTTTTCTAAAGAAAGTCTAAGGACACCTGGCTCTTTTGAATTCAAGAGAATCCCAGTCTTAAGCTCCTGGAGTGGTCCATTCAAGAGAATCCCAGTCTTAAGTTCCTGGAATGGTCTGGGAAGCTGTTGCCAGCTTTTATCAATTCTGTTTAGCTGTAGGTGTTGGCTTTATTCCTGCTTTCAAACTGCCTGTACTGGTATCTTATTTCCATTGAGAAAAACCTGAAGGATTGTTTAAAAATATTCAGGAAAGATGAGGAAGAACTGATTTACTGAACAGTCTGCTAGATCATTGTTTGGTGGAGTGGATAGAGAAGGCCAGTGCAGAAGGTTGACTTGCTGAAAGAATGTAGTTTCACAGTGAGATGCCTTAGTACCCTGTGCAGAGGTGAAAGGGGGAGCAGTGCCAGAGGATGAAGGATGGGAAGACTGGGGAGTCAAAGAGTAAAGGAAAATGGACTCAGCAGAGTAGTAATAGATACTTTTGAATACTTTCAAATGTCACATTTCTTAAAAAATCAAAACTACATATCATATGAGATTAGGTGTGTGACAGTCTGTGAGAACAGGTGTGGCAGGGGAGGGCAGGAAGCTCTTTTAAGATTCAGTTCATGTTAAGGGGGAAAGCTTTCATTAAATCGGATGAGTTCTATTGACCTGACTCTTGCACTTAAATACAGCAATCAGATACTGTGATCGATGCCAGCTGATCAAACCTGACCGCTGCCACCACTGTTCTGCATGTGACGTGTAAGTGTCTGAATCCAGAATTACAGATTTTCTCTTTCCTGCTATCATCACTTTAGTGTGTTCATGTCTTCAGTGGGTCAGTTCCTTCTGTTGGTGCAATATTATGGTACAGCCTGATTGTCTAAAGTGGCAGAACTTTTTAGGAAACCTGCTGGTAGCTTTGTAAAATAAAGCTTATTAAAAAATTAATTAATTAAAAAGTAAAAGATCATACAGACTGAAAGTCAAGAAAGGTAGGTCTGAGATACAGCCACCAGCTCATTGTATCTTGTTTCTGTAGCATTGAAACAGATGTGTTCTGCTAAAAAGGTTTATCTCAAAAATTGACAGTAAAATCATGTGCCTTTAACATTTCAAAAACATCACTGCTATTCCCTATTTTCAATGTGAATCATCAGAGGAGTCTGCACAGGCACTGAAGGCTGAGGCTATGCATGAGACTTCAGTAGGCTGAACTTGCGGAAATCTCATTAGCTGGAGAACCTAATACACATCTTTTGGCTAAAATCAAATTTGTTAGCAAATACAATGAATGTCTCTGTGTCTGAAATGTCCAGTATTGGTCTTTACTTTAAAACTAGATTAAAGTGGCATGTGAACTATTCAAATTGCCCTTTGTGCTGATCTTTTCCTCCATTAGCTTTAAGAAAAAAAAAAAAGACAAGCAGCAAACAAAATGGTAGAAAAAATAGCTCTAAGGTAGACTTAGTTGAAGTGAATGCCAGTCTAACACACCTTATCCACACAACCCTGACAGATTATTTGGATTTGTTTTCTCTGTGTGCGCATAAAACTAGTGTGGCTTAATGAACTGCTACATGGTGTTGCTCTGTAATGCTCCCCGTGCTAATTTAAGAAACTCTCCTCTTAAGTCTTCTGAATCTCAATTGTCCTTTTGGGTGAAAGAACAGCTGCTCTAATCAAGAGAATTGGTATGAATTGAGAAGGGCTTGAAAAAGATACACTAGGGCAAAACACTTGAAAAAAATCATTAAAAAACAACACCTGAAACTGTAGAAGCTAAAGTTACGTATCTTGGAAAGAAAATGGTTTTTTTTTCTTAACTTGCTGGAAATTCTCTCTTTCAGGTGTGTATTAAAAATGGACCACCACTGTCCATGGTAAGTTTATTTTTACAAAAATCAGTATAAGAATGATGAATTACATGCTGCTTCAAAAATGTACTTCTGGATTAAACCTTTATTTCCACTGAAGTTCTTTAATATGTGGGAATAAATGTATGATGCTGTGTAAAGTTGTAAGCCCAGTAATCCAAATAATGCAGTTTCTCCTTGTGTAGAGAAACCTTGACATTGACAAGAGCTGTGAAAAAGTCCATTTCTTTCCTTTGTTTACTCTGTTGGTGTTAGCAGGAGAGGAGATACCCACTGCAATGGGAGAGTAATTTCTGGATTCTAGATGATGTGTATGACCCACTCAGACTCTTCTGCAGTTTGTGTTCACTGGTAGTTAGTAAACATATTATCTGCTATCACTGTGAAAAGCATTACTACCAGTAGTTGACTTAGAGGTGGTTTTGTAACCAAGGCAGCATGCACTGAAATTGATGGCAAGGTTCCTTTACTTTCTGTGGTGACTGCAGTTAGATTGTAGTGAGAATTGCTTCCCATATGGACTGTCTGTATTGTAATGCTTTGCCAGGTCGTGTCCTGTCCTACAGAATCATGGGGGGCAAAATTCATGTGAGAGGCAAAATTCATGTCAGATCATTCAGCCTGAGAAATTTCCTTCAAAACAGTGGCTTAAAATGCTTCTGAAACACTGGTGCCAGAATGTTTTGGACATACCACTGACATCATACACATTTTGCTCTACAATGTATTGTGGGTTTTTGTTTGTTTTATTTTTTGTATATCTTAGTAACCTTTTTCTCTTTCCCCTCCTTCTAGGGTGAATAATTGTGTGGGATTTTCTAACTACAAATTCTTCCTCCTGTTTTTAATGTATTCCTTACTGTACTGTTTGTTTGTTGCTGCTACAGTCTTGCAGTACTTCATAAAGTTTTGGACAGTAAGTTCTAAGGCTTTTTTTGGTTGTTTTAAATTTGTTTAATCTTGCATGTGTTATTGGAGGCTGCATCAGCATGTTGTCACTCACCATTTACTCTGTTCTGTGGTTCACTATCATTAGTGACATCAATCAAAGTGACTGAAGCAGGAGAACCTTATGAATTTTGATGAAGTAAATGTATTACACTGCCCAGGATGAGGAACTGGGGGAAGGAGTTTTGATGAGGACACTGTGCAATTTCTATGCTCTATTAAAATTGAGTGGCACAGCTCAGTTTTTATGAGACTATGGGATACAGATATGTAGATAAAGAAAGAACAGACCATATCAAACAATTCTATGTATTCATATATATAAATACTGACAAATGTGAAATATAAATAATAATTGTGTATCTTCCCAGACTTGTCTATGGATAATCTGCTGCCAGATAAGGCAGATTAATTTGTTGGGAACTGTCTGAGCTCTTTTTTGGAGTCCCTACATAGGCATGTTTGAACTTCATATTAGTGGCTTTAATGATCTGGTATGAGTAGAAAGCTAAGATATGTACAGTATGGATATTATACATCTTTCTTGCAGCTGTTATTGGTTGTCAAATGGTTAAGACCTATAACATCTTTGTATGTTTAATAACATTCATGTGAAGGGAACCATCCTTATATGTCAGTGTTATATTGCTCCTATCAGTTTTGTTCCTATCATATTCCAGACTGAACACAGTTCCTTCTGTAGCTGTTCCCTTTCATCTACAAAAACTTGTAGTGTACCTTCCTATCTCTAGTCTGAAGTGTTAGTGGCAGAATTCCCTTAATCCATTTCCATTAATGAGCATGCAAATAGTTACCACAAGTGGAAGAGTCTCAATCACAACTTTGGGTAAATAACACCACATATTTCTTAAATGCTGGCTGCTGTCAGAGTAACTGGGAAAACTAGTAATTATCTGCAGCAATAGATATTGATATTTGCTTTATTGGAGCAAAAGGTTGCTGCCATGTCAGGGTAAGAGAAGCTTGATCATGTATTCAAAATAGTTGTACTTTGAGACAGTTGGCATTAGGTAAGATAAACTGTGCAAAAAAGTTTGTGTTCATCTAAACTTGTGGGTCTGATCTGCCAAAGTACTGTATTTCTCTTAACCTGTGAATTCTTTATAGCAGCCTGTCACTGGAGAGCAAGGAGTCATGCAGGAATTGACCTGTCAGTACTGTGAGATGAAAGCCATAAACATGTTTATCAGCCATAGCTGGGTTCTTAAGAGATATTTCAAATTAAATGGTCTGATTCTGCTGTTCAGTCTTGCTTGGCTGTAAATAGTTAAATTTTCAGTCTGTGAATGTGCCATTTCCAAACATCTGCCTGGCTGCTTTCCAGTGCTTTGTGTGCAATTTCTAAGGAAACTGTAGATGCACTTTTACATACTTAGCAGTCAGCGCTTGAGTGAAAAAAAGAATTTGCTTTGTTACATTACTTTATAATTATTAGTGCAACTAAAAAGGCCACAGGACAACTGTCTACAATGAATGAACATTTAATACCAACATTTGCAGCAGGACTCTTACAAAGCTCATCTGACACAATGTTGAAGTGGACTCTCAAGCAGAGGAAGTAAACTTAAGAGGGATTATTTTTTTATTATTGATTCAGTTGTTAAAAATGCTTCCTGCAAGAATGGGCTACTTCTGAAATGTAACAATAGACAATGTAGTTGTGTACTTGCTTTCAATTCCGGATATTTCCAAGACAGAACCTGGGAATGCCCTGATCTTATCAGTAGAATAGGTCTCTGACTCACTTTACTCATATTAAGTCACCCACTTCACAAAGCTAAGACTCTTCTGAGCTTATAACTGACTTACAAAAGTACATTTCCAGAAAGAGGTGGCAGCTCCATAATCATGTAGGCTTGCAAATTCTGTGTGTCTCTTGTACGTAAGCTTTTAGGTAAGTGCTCTCTTGGAAGGTTCTCTCTACATCTGTATGCAAACCAAAGCAGAATGCTGCTGACACATGCTGTCTGTAGACTGCTTCAGTATATTGCTAATCCTCAGCTTTGTCTGCTACAGCATCAGACAGTTGCTGTTTGGACATTTTCTGTTGAGGCTGTCTAGATGTACAGAACCACTGCATATTTTGAGTTGGAAAGGACCCTCAAGGATCATCGAGTCCAAATCTTCATTAAACAGCCCATATGGGGATTAAAAACCCACAAGCTTGATGTTATTAGAATCATGCTCTAAAACTGAGCAAAATCAAGGTTGTTTTTTCCCCACAAAGCTTGACTATAGGAAATGTTACAGTATACCTTCAGAATGTAGTGCTTATTTTTTGCTTCCTCACAGATGTTTTTCAGAGGCTGTGCAACAAACTGCTGGATATATCCAGTGTTTGAAAGAAGTATTGACTGCTTCTTGGGGAATGTAGCCTGGGGGAAGAACTTGTAATGAGGTTGCGGAGGTGTATGTGCTAACTACACAAATGTAGCAATCCATTGTTTTGCACTGTTGATAATACTAGCATAGAAACATGATGCTCCTATGCAGATACTTGGAAACATTGTGAGACTTGCACACCTACCAAATTCTTCTTTTGAAGAAAGCCTTTGTATTTCTCACCTGCATATGCAGGACTTACTTTTACACAGTACATATCATGCTCTATGCAGAAGTGCTGAAGAAAGGTCTTGATTCTGTGCATACAATAGTGGAACAACAACACAGACTGGGAATGTTTACCACAGGCTTGCACCCTGATGCTGATGTTAAAATCTGTTTTGCAGATCAAGGGAATGTGACTGATTTCTTTATTTATACCTATAACTGCTTTTTCTATATTCATTACATTTTTATTTCTACCTCAGAGGTTGTTAAAGATAAAATGCCAGTTTAACCAAATGTCTGACACAAACACCAGCACTGGCCAGACGCCCAGTGCTTGATGTCTTGTTTACACAGTGCATGGTGGTGCTTCCCAGCTTATATTTGTGTCTACTCTTATTCTTGCTGCACTGCCACCTCCTTGAAACCATTATGTTTTCCAGTCATTTTCATTGTCTTTCACTGCCCTCCAGATTAATTTTCAATCCTGAGTGTAGCTAAATAAAGGATGTGATACATGTCCTGGGTGGATAGCATGTGCTTCTGCAAAACTTTGGTTGTATTCATAATAGGGGGGTAAAAAAAAGGAGTGGTTCCACATCAGTAGTTAGAACTATTCCTCTTGCCTATACTAAGGAGGTAGACCAGGTCTGAGTTTTTTTCAAAGATTAAGCTAGACCTATGTACTGAAAAATGAGGAACAAATCAAGCTCAGACAGCACTTTTTTCTTTGAGGGGTTTAATGACCTGGTAGCAATCAAATTACTCTGTGAAAGAGTTTGTAAGAGACTCTTGAATAGTGACTGGCTTCAGCCTATTGTGTGCTCAGTAGTCCAGATTGTGTTGTGCAAATTGCTTCCTTTTGTAAACTCTGCAGCTCTCTCACCTGCAAGTCTCTGCTTGTGTGCTGCTGCTGAGCATAATGATCTTAAATAACCAATGTCTGAAGTTTCACTCTTTCCACATGCGGAGGGCATGTGGACTGCTGCTAGAACACCACTGTGAATAAGCTTGTTATACACACTGAAAGACTGCATGCTTCTCTCCAGTAAAGAATTGGCCTTTTTTGAAAGATGCTTCAGTTCTGCAACAGTCATTCAGGAAGTTACAACCAGTGGCTGAAATTGGGTAGTCAGAAGAGGTAAATGCTCCCTGGGGATCATGCAGAATAATCATACATAATTCAAAAAATCCTCCAGGTTTTAGAGCTGCTGGTTTAGGAAGATGTAAGTGAAGCAAACTTAGATTTTCTGATCCACAGAACACACAAAGACTAAGCTGCTGCTGCTCTTTTAGCATCAGAATAAGTTCTTGGGAATTCCTTGTAGAGAATTATTTTGTTTAAATATGTAATTTCAAAAAAGTCATAGGAATTCAAGTTACAAAAATCAGTTGGGCAGGTGGGGAACACTGCAGTGTACTCTGAGTCAGAAAGAGTTACTATTGCTTCAACAAGAAGCTTAGGAATAAGCAGCAACTGGAGTATTTTGCTAGGCTGGATTTCAGTGGATCGCAAAACCCAACATATCCCTACTGCAGGTGGAAGAGGGACTGTTGCACAAATTGTCAGTAAATAAGTAATAAAATGGACAGTAAAAAGGAAACTGAACTTAAATGGCAGTTTAGAGAGCTGGACTCTGCTTGTCACTTGCTTACTGTAGAATTATCTAATGGCAGCTAGCACTTTTGAAAATGCTGTGTATATCTGCCTGACTAATGTAGATGCTTGGGCTTTCCCTAAGCTTTTTGCACATATTAATGGAATTTAAAAGCCATACATCTTGCCTACAACAGATCAGTTAAGTGCTAGCATCTTAGCCAAGATACCGCTCTTTAAGTATAAAGTTTAGAATTTAAAAGCTAATTTGAACCCAGCTTTCCAGTTTCTTCCTTTGTTTTCTCAAGCACTGGTTCAATTTCAGGTGTTATACTAAAGATATGCCCTACAAACTGCTCTGTATTGAAGGAAATTGGGGAAAAGAAAAACTGTACTGATTCGTTATCAGATCTCTTTTAAATGAAGAAAATTGTGCAAAGAATGGCAATTTATTTTTTATGGTTTTGGCTGAAACTACATCTAATGGTAATTGATATGTTCTGAAGTCAGAAAGATTTTTGATTAATAAGCCATTACTTTATACCTCAGGAGTATCCTGAGCTTTTCAGACCTTTGTGAATGGTTTCATCATACAGAATATTCACATAAATCTTATTTGTGATGGAAACAACTAGCAAAGAAGGAAATTGGTGTAGTCATGCTGACTAAGCTGAGCAACCACTTGAAAGTGATCCAGTCACAATCTGAATTCCAATACATTTATGCTTCAGTAGAAGATTTCATGGCTTGGAAGTTAGTAGTGGGCTTTTGCATATTTCTTCATTCTCTTGGAGAACAGGGGCTAAAGCTCTGATGTGCTTTGGAAATTGGCACATGCAAGAGCACATTTGCACACCAGCCATTTTGTTCTTAGCAAAGCCTGTGCTGTTTTCAACCACCCTGTATTAACATAATACTAGTGTTTAATAAATTGTCTTTCTTTGCGCAAAGCTTTGCCGCAGGAAAGCTGCAGAGAATTGTCCAAAGGTAAAATCCAATATTGCTATCATTATTTAAATGTGGTTCGTACTACAGTTTTTCTAGTCTCGTCATTCATGGCAGGTATTTACATCATCACGGAAGGAAAGAGACTAGTAATCTGTTGCCTATAAATATAAACCATGTACAGAGAAATGGATATATCTATGTGCACTTGATCTTAATTGAAATGTGTTTTAGCTTAAAAAAGAAAGTCAGACGTAGATAAATGGGTGTACTGAATACGCTAATGGAAAAAGTAATGGCAGTAATGCTAAGTAAATAGCTGAGTAAAAATAGCCTCTCTGCTTTCATAATGTTGTTAAAGGTCAACTGCTTGAAAGTGCTGTGATTTTGAGGATATAGAGCTGGAATAGTATTATTACAAATCCCATTGGCCTTTTGAAAGCCTGAAAATAGTTTGGGGTGGAATTGACAATCTGATATGGGTGGGAATTGGTTTCTTTATGGTGGTTATACTGAAATTGTTGTTTTCCACATAGATTTCTGGTGATCGACTTCTACCTGGTCAGATATGACAAGTTTGTTTTGCTAGGTACATGCTTGTTGCTTAAACATTAGAGGTGATCAAAAATTGAAGATCTATCCTATGTCTTGTTTAGGACTTGTTCATGACAGCCATTTACCTTTTATGTTCATGATACCAGTTAAGAATTAGATTCAGTATTACTACCTTGTGGCAGGAATTGCACTTTTTTTCCCCTTCAGAGGAAGTGACTTTGGACATATTTTCCCCATGTCTCTTTGGCTGAGACTGCACAGTTAACATTTTCTTGTATAGAAGATGTTTTGCCTTGCCTCCTGCTGTGCATTTGAAAACCACGGATGAACAAGTGCGCTCACAGTAGTAAACATGGGGGAAGGGATACCAATGAGATTTAAATGCTGTAGTTTTCCAGTTTAACATGACGTGAAAGGAATAGCTGCTGCTTTTCTTCCTTGGCAAAAACGGAGGTGAATGACCTATAGCAGTCTGGGTGTGGCAGGAAATGTTCAGTGACAATAGTGCCTTAGTTGCTGGGAAGTGTTAACATATTAATCTCTTTCTCTCTTTCTCCCCAGAATGAATTGCCAGATACCCATGCAAAGTTCCACGTACTATTCCTTTTCTTTGTGGCAGCCATGTTCTTCATCAGTATACTGTCACTCTTCAGCTACCACTGCTGGCTAGTTGGCAAAAACAGATCAACTATAGGTGAGTTCATTGGGGTATGAAACTTTTCCTGGTCCAGAAAAATGACAATTCAGTGAGAATGTGAGGCCTACATGCTCACATATAAATTGATTTTTTCAATACTGTGCAGTAAAAAGCATATTTGGTGGAAGTAATTAAAGGTGAAACAAATGGGAAGATGAAGCCTGTGGGGGATCCTCTGCTGGAGTCAATCATTCAGATTCATGATAACTGTTCATTTCTTTAGTTTGTATTTTTGAGCCCTCTGCGGTATCATGCATTTTTGTTGTGATTTTAAAGTGTGATGCAACCCAATTGCTACTTGCCACTCTGTTCTAATACTTTAAGTATCTGGGTATCCCCTACCAAGTCGGAGGCTCTGTTGTACATGAACATGTACTACATTTTGAACTAGATACAAACCAGTATTCTTAAATCCTGCGAAAGAAAGCTGACCTTATTATAAAGTGGCTTGTAAAAGAGTGATAAAATTTAAAACACTGATGCACATTTTCCAGATAATAAAAGATTCCCATAATTTTATGCCTAAACATTTTAAATGGCATTGATCAGCATAAACAAGCTATGTGCATTTAATTAAAGTATTCGAAGCTCTTGCTAGGAAACACTTGAGAGTGGTTTTTGCAGTGTATGGGGAGACAGAGACTGATGAGTATTTCTACAACTGAGTAAGTCAAAATCTCATATCTTTCATTGGAATTTAAATTTCTAATCTCAAAAATAAGTGGGTTGATTAAAAGTAAAATAATTTTCATCTAGAATTTTTTTGCTAGAATTTTTTGATTGGTTAATAGGAGAGTTATTTGTATTATTTTTCTTTTGACATATGTACAGGTAAGGAATACTCACTGTTTCTTTTTAGCTTTGAAAACTTCAACATATTCCTTACCCAAAAGTCAATGGTCATAATTGGCAACACAGTTCTTTATCTGCTTTCTGGATCATGATCTTACAAGACAAGATATTGAGATGGAGGGAGAGCAGTAAGTCCTCTCAGTTCTTGTCCAAGGGTGTAACTGGACTGAATGGCAAAATTATGGTGGTTTGCTATAATTCATAATGTGTCTGTTTTTAACGTAATAGATTTCATCTTCCTCTGATAGTATGGAATGCTCTTAGTTCAGCTTCCTAACTTGGCAGATGTGGAAAAACCTCTTCTGTATGGGCTTAGGTTCAGCAGTGCTTATGGTAAATTACTCCTAAAAGGGAAAATCATCTGCTCAAAAAAGGCTGAAGAGAGAGCAAATCACCAAGGAATAAGAGATGGATGTGGTTATCTTTGGCATGCTGATGGTACTTAGCTTTATCTCAGTCTTTGTTAAATGTAAAGAGAGAAAGTTGACGAGGTGACAGTTCTCCTTACCTGATTTTCTTATTTTTCACTAACCCTGTGATTTTTTTTTTCCTCTGTTTACTTAAGATTTTGAAATTTTTTTTTCCCCTATAATATATACATCAAGATCACCTCACCTTGCCCAAAAATGGCTCCATAGCAAGAGAAGTTTGGGGTTGTTTCTTCATGTTCCCTGATTCCTTACTGGTTTAAGGAATTACATGTTTTTATTTTACAGAAACATTCCGTGCACCCACATTTCGAAATGGTCCTGATAAAAATGGCTTTTCTCTTGGATGCAGCAAAAATCTAAGGGAGGTTTTTGGAGATGAAAAGAAGTATTGGTTACTTCCTATCTTTACCAGGTATTCAGTCTAAACAGTAATGAATTAGAGAATTGATTCCATGACTTCCACCATGCTTCCCTTTCTACTAAAAAATAAAACACAGCTGAAAAGCCAACTTGTATATCCAGTACAGTAAATACTGGTGCAGGGAAAATATGCAAGAGAAAACTATCAAACTCTGTACAGGGTTTTCATTCAAAGACAGGGACATTCCTGACAGGGAGCTTCTAGATGAAGAAGTTTGGAAAGCTTTGAGAAGTGTATTACAAAAATTGTGCACCTTTTGGTGGTAGTTTCAGTGATTATAGAGCAGAAATCAGCAGCTCAGAGGCGATCAAACAGTTGCATCATAACATCAGCAAAAAAACACCCTCTCTTGCCACTGGAAAAACTTGACAGCTTTCCTTTTGCTGTAGATGACACTTTAGGATTTAAAGGCTATCTAAGAAAGTGCATGTAAATAAGAAACAGAGGAGGAAAAAATATCTGATATTATGAAAAATGCTGGAATTAAAATGTCAGCTGAGCCAGCATTAGGGAGTTGCAGACAAGACTGATGAAGCAAGACTGACGTGCTGTCCATTCCAACCACTACCAGATTTCAGAAGAATGAAGTAGGAATTGTGTTTCAACACTGCTCTTGGGGGGCTATGTATCAGGTAAAAATGTTGCTGAACCTGCTTGCGAAGCTGAGGTCTGGTATGACCTCAGAGCAGCAGAGGTAATACCAGCAGCTTTAGTTGACTCAGCTGTTTGCTCAACTACCATGTGATTAAAGACTGAAGCTCCACTGTAGATGGCTCAATCTGTTTTGCTGATTGCATTTTATCCTGATAAACTTTAAAAGAAGGCTTAACTAATTTCAAAGTTATGGGTGAAGGGGAAAACATGGCCACCAGAATGTTATTTATTATACAGCTTCTGAGGTTGTAAATACCAGAGAGTCTTACCATGTGTGCATGCTGGTTTGGGGGAAGATTAGGGCTACTACAGTCTACTGAAATACATCTGTGTTTCTGAAATCCACAGACTTGTGCTTGTGCACAGCAATCCATACTCACTGGTAAAGTGTGAATCAATTGAGTTCCAAGATTTAATTAACTGATCATCTGATTTAGTGGTAGAACTGCCTTGCTAAATTCTGGAGTTTAGCACTGTGCTCAGCTAATTGATTTGACCCTGTAGCCTTTGCCTCTTCCATGGGTCCTTGTTTCAGTTCACTTAAGTCTGCTACCAACAGTGATTAGAGTCTTTGTTTCTCACTTAGTTTGGGTGATGGATGTAATTTCCCAACTCGCTTGGTGATTATGGATCCAGAGCAACTTACAGTCTCAAGCCAAAATGAACCTGCCAAAAGGTAACTATAGCACTTAAATACTGATTTTACACTGTTTTGTACTTATCTTGAGAAAAAAATCTGTTTCAAAGTTAGTTTTTTAATTCTTTATGCTTCTTATCATCTTCAGAGTAAGTTTGTAAGTCTTCAGTGAAGGACAGAATTGATTAAGACTAAAAACTTTACTGTGTCTTGGTTTAGTGTAACAGAGGATAAGGCTCTAAGGAAGCAGTAATAGAGAAAAGTAAGGGAGCTTACTGGCTCTTAACAACAATCAAAGAAGCCCTAGGGAAGACTGAAAAATTGTCCATGGGAAAAAAAAGTGTTTTATTTGCTTGGTTTGGGTTTTTTTTTTTTTTTTGTGAAAGACAAGGTATTATATGTATTTCATCTCCTGAAGCATGCTTAAACAAGTAATGCTGAGACAGTTTGCAAGAGAAGTAGATCTCTCATGCTGGGATTTTTAGCTCATTGCTTTTTATCTTTCCCAAATTTGCTTGTTTTGTATCTTTAATGTACTTTTAAAGTGACAAGAGTCTGTGTGCAGTTTCTGGGGGTGTTTATATTTGCCACTTTAGAAGTTTTCTGCATAGTTTAATGAATTTGTAAGCTGAAGGTTGTTGCCAACAGCAGTCACCTGAGTCACCAGATATTAGAGGATTCAAAGGCAATACAGAGAAGAAGTTGCTTCCAGTGCAACATAACCTGTGGAATTTACACAAGAACAGGACCCTTGTGCAAAGTATCTTTTTACATTCAGAAGATTGTTCGGAAGAAGGCCCTGGCATTTGCATGGGATAAGATGGCATTTGGTTGCTCTTCCAGATGGAATTGTGTAGGTTTTCTTTTTAGATGTGTGGCAGTCTTATTGTCAGGGTGCCATTTCTTGTGTATCAATCCATGGGTTTTTTCCATTAGAAGTGAGTGGCCTGTGTCAGGTCGGGGTTTATTTTAGACTGATGACTGGAACAAGCCTGTAGAGGAATTAGGGTTCAGGGCAGATGGCCATTTCCAGTTTGCACTGTAGGGTTTTTTGTTATCAGCTTTGCTTTTAAGTGACTTCACTATTCTAGAAATGTCTGAAGCAGCTATTGGTATTACAGAATTCCTGTTGACTTTGCTTACTTTTCAGCTCTGTAGCCAATCAGTCCTTTCCTACTCGACCACTCAGTGAATCACAAAATCGGTTGCTATCTGGTGATTGTCAGTGGGTGGAAACTGGTCCTGAAGAGGAAAATGTGAAATCAGGTAGTGGTTTTGTTTGTGGTTCGGTTTTCCTTTTTTTTTTTTTTTGTTTTGTTTTGTTTTGTTGTTGTTGTTGTTATTTTTTAATTTTTTGCACCTAAAAAGAAAGTCCTTAGGAATTGGCTGGAATGATAGAGACGAAAATGTGTTTCATGGTATCAAGTCAGAATGTTTAGAACTTAAGGATAACTTGCATCCCATGTTCTGCTCTAGAATTTGTTATTGTGTTAAGGTAGTGAGTGTATGGTAGAGGGATAGGTAATTCCACTTTTGCACTTCAGTTCTGAGACTTGGGATCTTTTATGTTTAGTAAGGGGGAGGAAAATATTTTTGTAAAAGTAAGCACAACACTGTCAATGTGCTTTCTGGTTTGAAATCTTTGCTATTTGTTATGCAAATCTGCAAAAACACATAATTGAGATTCTCTCACATTCTAGGTGCAAAAAAGCATATTATAGTTTCATTGGAAAGCTGATCTCAGCTAATTACTAACCAATCATCTCAATGAGAAACAGGTAAGACTAACATAATTGATTGCTATTTCTGTACATGTATGAATAAAATTAACATCTCAAAGTCAAAAATCAACTAGTCACAGAATGCAGAGGAGTCCGCTGATGTTAGATGAGTAATAGCAAAGTCTAAACAAAATTCAGAATGGCTGTTGAGAAGACAAGAATGGGAGCAATGCTGTAGTGCAGGAAACATGGGTTGGCTAGGCCTGGGATGAGTCAGATGAATCATGTAATTTAGATTAAAGTGGGTAGTGCTGGATTTGTTACCTGACCAGGGAAAATAATCTGATGTTAAATGCAATTCTGAGATGAAACACTGTCTTGAGGAGGAGCTCCTTAAATGTCTTTTTCTTAATCATATATTGGTGGGCCATGTTCTGCTCTTTAGGAAGGTGCATGTGCATGAGGAAGGAAGGCCAGTAAGTGAATACAGGTCTCTGCATACAGACTGCTCTGTCACATTTGGAATTGACAATGATTTTCTGGAATGCTTCTTGCATTAAAGTGCCCTGTGTGCACTTTGCATTTAGGAAATACAGTGCATTCTGATGCCTATGTGAAAGTTCTCTTGGTGTATTTCCAGGGACTAAATTAGACTTCTTTTATGTTGACTTTCTACTGTAGTGAGCTTATAAGTTACCATTAAGTTTTTCTGTTTGGAAGAGAAACAAATCTTATTTGGTCAACTAACAGCTGTAAAAGCTATAGCTGAGTCATTACCCCCTCCCTCTCCTCCCTATTTTTTTTTTTTTTCAGTTGTTGTGGGTTTTTTGGTGGGAGGGATGTTTTTGCAAGTAATTCACATTTTTTTCAGAAATAAAACACTACATTTGAATTTGGTAAGTAGTTTTAGGATTACTTTTATTTCCTTTCCTTTTATTTTTTTAAGGAGCCTTCTGACCTAAAATTATATTTTTGGGAGGGGGTTAGTTTGTTTTCAAGGAAAAAAAATCTTTCTAAAAGGTCTTTGTGGGTGATGGTGTGATGCTTTGGCTCATGTTGGTCAGACTGCTCAGTGTAAACTCATACAAGACCAAGATTAGACTAAGTAGTTATAACTGCTGAAAAACCTACTCAACCATGAGAACTCACCAATGATAAGTTTCCCCTTTCCAACTCTTTTAAATGCTGTATAAATGTGCAAAAGAATATCCTAAGCAAGGGGTTCCTTTCAGTCTCCAGCTATATAAAACCTAATCTGATCTAAATAGGTTACAAAGGATTTTCTGTTCTTCATGGAGAGGAATAGAAGTTTCTGAGAGCAGCTCATCCCAGCAGCCTTTGATAGGGTATTATAGAAAGGTCTTAATCTTTCTTTCCACTGACCTAGAGAGGGAGCATAGATGGCTGTTTTAAGCTAGACAGTTATTTGGTAATATTTTGAGATCAATTTATTTTCTATCTTGCTCACTTCCTAAAATGAGGCCAGATTTAATAAAGGAAGAATCTGTACTTTGTGTTGCACTTTCCCAACCTACACTAGTTTTAAAAGTTGTATAAATAAAAGGGCATAATTGCACCCAATTAAAAAGCATTTGGATATGTGTTACCTTAAATCAACTCAGTAACACAATGTTGAAACCATTCTGAGTTCAGTTGGATTTGATCATGGTTTAGGCCAAGATGGTTAATCCCAATCCTGCATTTCTAAGCAACTGTACAGTAGCTGTGAGATCCAGGATCTGTTCAATGCACTTCCATAAAATGGTGTAGCAAGCCAATAGTTGTATTTTTAAATATTGGGCCCGTAACACAGCAGAAGCAAAGTCATGGCTTATTCTAGTGTATAAAGCTTGATTTGCAGAAGAAGGCCAGTCCCCCAGCCTCACCTAGGTAAATACCATTTTTGTCTTCACATCTATCAATTTAATTAAAAAATTGAATTGCTAGTCAGGGATCCAGGATGATTTAGATGCAGATCAGTGCTGATGGATTGATGTTCTTAGCACTGATAAGCTTCTAAAACATAAAAAGATCAAAACCCCACACCTCCCAGAAGCTGTTTCTGAGTTGAAGTTGCCTTAATTACTTACCTTAATGAGAAGTCTGTAAATCATATTACCCAGATGCATTTGTGTAATGCAATATGATGTGTTTCTTCAAAGCTAATTGAATAATTCCATTAATTACCTTTTTTTTGTTTCATTAGGTTTCTGCAACACATTTTGAGCTTGAATATTACTTAATTTTGTTTGGAAGAAGTTGAGCAGGAAAAAATGGAACATGAACTTTTTAGGAAGAGACAAGAAATTCAAGTTTCTGCACAGTACAATGGATTCTTGTAAGCACTATTGCAGAGCAGGGAAGTTAAGACAGATGCCTTAAGATGCTTAATGTGCATTTATGCAACACTGAATTATATACTGCTACCAAAGGGCCAGATCCAGAAGTGCCCTGCTTGGATGCACAAGGTCCAGAGTGGGAACTATGCATTTCTTTTATGCTGCAGTGGTGGGGGTATATTGCAGTGACTCTTACCTCCTCACGGGCAAACGTCATACCTTAGGCACTGCAGAAGGCACTTCCATAGCAGGTCTCCAGAGTACAGAAGAAAAGGAAGAAAAAAAAAAGAGTCAGCCTAGAGCATGGTCAGCAAGTCTGAAGTGGGAATATACATAGTTCAGATGCCAGGTGATGGGGAAGAGACTGGATGGTGTCTTCTCCTCTCTCCCTGTTAACCAATCTACCCCATGATCACAGCTCTCCAAGTCTTTTGGGACTGAGGGTACTTTCTACTAGCTGTGCTTTGGAGCAAGGTAATGCCAACAACATAAAAACCTTTAACTTGGGTGTTGCTTTTTTGCTATAGGATTGAGCTTCGTCATAATTTTAACTTGATTTATTTAACCATACCAAGGACAGAGCTCAAAAAAGAAAACTTGTGTTTTAGTTGAAAAAAACATGGATTATTTCTTTCCAATGATTGTCAGTCAGCATGCAAGGAAAAGGCAGTCCAAAAAGGAATTAACAGTTCTTACATTTTCTGCTACTGTTTGCTGTGTTCTGTGTAAAGCAGCAACAAAATGGTAAAGTACCCCTGAGAAAAACCATACTGCAGTTGTGTGTTTCTAGAAAACAGAACCAGCAAAGTACTGTTTTTTCCATGGGACTCTTGATGGTTTATAAATACTGTTTTATACTTTTGTTTTATCTTTTTAATAAAGGAACAAGGTTTTATTGGTTCTAAAGTACAAATATCAGGTACTTAGAAGAAGGTTAGTGTTACATCATAGATCTGTGTTAGCACACTGAAAAATTGCATCCTTTAGTCTCCCACTTTCAAGTCCAGTTTCAATGATGCTGAAATTGCTAAAGACTGATGTCTTTGTGCAGCAATGCTTACAAAAGGTGAAATGTGTTCCCTGTGTGAGGATTCAAGTCCATCCCATTCTTAGCTCAAGACCTACAGCAAATAACATGGGGGTTTTTTTCCTCACTTCTCTACAGAGAAGACTGCTAACTCATCTTTGGGTGGTATTGGAATTTTGCACCAGGAAAAAGTGACAAATACTGTTTTTCTGTCTGTGAGATTTCTGATGTTCAGCTGCTGATGATTACAAATAGACATGAGTCCTTTTGATACATACTGAAGGTAGTAGTGAAATTGATGATTTAGTCCAAAAGAACCTGTATGGTTTGTCTCCCAGACTGATTGCTACTTGAGTTAAATATGTTTATGATGGAAATACTAAGGTATCGAGTATGTAAGGTTTAAAATAAGTATTTTTTTGTCTTTGGATATAATAAATTTTTCTTAAATATTAATCTTCTGGAACAAGAACTCTTTGAGAACCTATGATTTCACTGTTGGATATTCTTGCGACAGAAGGAATGGTCCAAACTTGCATGTTTTATAAAAGTTGCAGAATGTTTCTTCAAACCTTGTATAAGAAATTTTGCATTTGCTAATTCCAAAATTTACAAAAGCATTTGCTACACATTGATCGGAAAGGTTTAGCTTTTTCTTCTCTAAATGTTAATTGAGAAGTGCCCATTTTAACACAAGCTCTCAGCAGTATTGTACCAGCAAAATTTCTTGGGGAAGATAACAGAGAAGAAAGACTGCATGTTCAAATGGCTTGTTCTGAATACCAAAATTTGCAGCCCCAAACACTGGTGGAACTGTCATGGAGGGTCTGGGATATCATCTGGCTTTTACTGCATCCATGTATTATTGCTGAAATAACACGTCCATGCACAGATATCATCCAGCAGAACTATAAGCAAAATGTATGTATCCTGTAGGCCAACATCAGGAGAACTTGTTTGATTTGTTTAGTCAGGATAGTGAATCTACAGGAAAAAACTGCAAGCAAACAGACTGTGCTATCTCCATGTGCATTTTCTAACAAGTGCAGCTGTTCTGAAACCACTTATTTGTATATCTGATGGACATTTTTGTGGGTTTTCATGAGGAACTGACATTTCTGACATGTTTATGCAGATCACAGGAATATTTTGTCCTAGGTTTTAATTCATATTTGAGGTGAGAAAAGGAGCAGTGGTTTTAGGATAATCCTGAGGCCAGAGTTACTGTTGGTGTAAAAGCAGGCATTACTGAAAGTCACTTTGACAACCAGGAAACATAGTAAAATGATTGAAAGATGATTCTCCCACATTTACGACCCACAATCACTTTTGGTTTTTTCCTCCTGGGGAACTGGGGACTAAGAGAAACCCCAGGTTGATTTAAAGGAATTAAGTTCTCTAAGGGAATTGTACTGCTGAACTCCAAGGGCATGCCAGTAAGTGAAGTTAGGTTTTCCTGGCACGCCTGGGCTTTGGGGGAGGTATCATGGCTAAGGCAGCCAGGATAACATCCTCTGCCTTTGGATTCTGTCCTGAGCACTCCCTAGGCTGTGCTGTGCCAGCAAGTCCATGGGGGAGCAGGATGGCTCTTTGGCTGCTGGGCTGAAGCAGCCATGTGTCCCTGCCAGCAGAGGCAGGGGCTGAAGGAAGGGGGTACTTTTGCCCCATGGTCAGATCAGAAGGGGGATGGATCCTGAGAAAGCAAATATTTAGGGTGTTGGGCTGTATTGTAAATGCTGGTTTTGTGGTTTAGCCTATTTTTTATCAGGGAGTCTTGAAAATACTTAGGTTGTCATTAAAAATAGCAGCCCTTAAGCTTTTAGATCCATTAAAGTAATGACTACTACAAGCCATACGTAGTAGTTATTGTAGGATAGTTGACATTGGCTGCAGTTAGAAACTGCTTTCTTGTTTCTTTCTGCTTTTTTCTTTAAAAAAAATCTACATACACTCAAAAAATAATTTTAAAAAGGCTTTAAATTCCCAGTGAGAGAACAGAAGCCTGATGTAGGGGAGGATTTCATTTTTTCTGAAATGTCTTGAAACAAACCTGTCCCTGTGAATATGAGGCAGGAAAATCCACAAATAGAAATTACTTCAAACTGCACAATACTGTTTTTTTTTTCTTATTGTTACTTACTCACAGAGTGTACAAGACACACATCATTGCTGTGCCTACCAAAGGCGTAATATGGGAGGAGGGCAGGAAGAGGAATAGGTTTCTGCCATTAATTGACTTCCTACAGTATTATTTTGATACTGTATTGATACAAGTCAGATGTGATTAGAAACCTCCATTTAAAATAATCAGAGGGTTACTTAGAGGAAGTTTGGGCACTTCTATTTTTAGTGAATAGAAATCACAGTAATATTTTTATTAAAGCTGCCTCTCAAGTGTGGAATTTGCAAGTACCAAGCTATTTTTGGTATTCCGTTTTTACAAACTGGTCCTGTTCTCCAGAGTGCTGAATACTCAGTTTTCAGGTACTGTTTCTTTCCTTTAGTCTTGTGTGGTTCTCTATTAATTATAAATTGTCTTTTGTGTTGGGATGAATTTCAGTACCATTGACTATGTACACAAAGACTTCATGATCTAACCGAAGTATGGTCCAGTTGTGGCTAAGCAGAGCCCCAAGAGGACAAAAACTGCAGTGGTTGCAGCAGTATTAATGTCTGGTAGATTTACTAAGATGCGCTGGTTCCAACACAGATTGACCAAATCTGCCTGGATCTGGAGCACCAACTGACCAGACTTTTATTTAAAAGTTGGGTACCAGCAAAACCACAACAGCTTTGAGTTTCATAGCATATGTTCTCCAAGGGGGAGAGTGTATGTTCTGACTGGGGGATTTGGGTGTGCATTTAGAGAGGCTCCAAACAGCAGTTGCTTTTAGCTCACAAATACATCTTTTTGCAGTACCTAAAAAACAGCAATGTGTGCAACTTCAGAGGCTCTTCTATCCCTAAATGGCACCAAAGAGAGCAGCTGCACATGAAGTGATTTAGTACTGAACACGTTTGTTACACTCATTTCTATTCATTTATTTTGTATATAGAGCTTTTTATACACATTTTTCTTAATTATGTAGCTGTTGTGAAACATCATGAAGCTATGAGTAGTTTTTCATGTGGATTAAACAGGTGTTTGGTCATTTGTTTTCTAAAGCCTTTACTTGAATTTGTTTCCATTAGGTAGTGAAGTCTGGTAATGTTTACAGATCACTTTCTTCGGTTTTGGGAGCTTTCCGTATCTTTCTTCCTACCCCCTGCCCTAAGAAACGGAGCTTAACAGTCAAGTAGATGTGTCAGAGATGAAGAATTTGTATTACTTTGTCACCAAAGCATTGGGAGTGACATGCTGATTCCCTTCCGTTTACACTGCTTAGCTGACAACTTAAAGACACTGAAGCATGGTCCTCTGTGATTTCTCCTGTCCCTTATCCTGTTATCAGCTTTATTATGGGAAACTTAAATCTTCCGAAATGGGAATTTACAATCATGAAGCTATCCCAGAGAGGGGCAGCATTCCTGCTGTTAGGTCTGTTCCGCTTTTAACTTAGATGAATGAAACATCCCTGGGTTATCTCTGAAGTTCCTTTCGTATTTTCCAGCAAGGGTCATCAACATTTGCACTAATCACAATGTCTCAGCTGTTTTATTGCCACAAGGTTATTTTTAATTGTGCTGCCTAAACTTTGAATGAGCTGTATTTAAGTTTGGGATGATGTGTAAAAGATACCTGTAATAATGATGCACTTGTTGTATTTTTTTGTATGTTACAGATAGGACTCATCCTATGCACAGAGAAAACGTTGCCATTTATAGTTTAATACTTGAAGTAACTTTTTGAAATGGGCTTTTATAAATGAATTAAATACAAAATCACATTGCTTTGCTTGGAAGTTCCTTCATGTTTTAATTGTATTTGCAATTTCCCCATATGTATACTTTTCCATAAATTCTCTTAAGCCATTTACAACCAATGAAAGTGCATTCAAGATTTTGTACATCAGTGTTCAGACCTGTTCATACTTCTCTGAAGTATAATCTGTGTTTAATAAAAAAGTACCATTTTAAGCCTCTTTTCCAAAGTTATATGAATAGACTTGACACTTGAATTCATCAGTGAATGCAACATCAACTTAATAAAAGTATGTGAAAGAATCTGGAAAGTGATCAGCTGTAGCATCTGTGTTATTAGATCACCAAGGAAAACTGCCTACGTGGGAAACACTGCACCATTGCTCTGGTTTTTACACTCCAGCTACAACAAACCTAAGATTACACTCACTCTTGACGCATCTTCCAGGTCATTGGGTCTTGTGGGGAAATAAAAAGCCTGACTTGTGGCTAAATCTTATTCCTCCAGGACACTACACCTGACTTAGAAATGAACTGCTCAAACAGGAATCGGCCGTGTTCCTTTTAGGTCAGGAATAATCTGTGTAAGAGAGCTGTAACACCCAAGTTGGCACTGACATGACAATGACACTGGAAGTTAAGATCAACAGTTCTTTCCAGAAAGTTTTTTTAAAAATTGAACATTTATAACATTCCATGAATTCCAGCCTCATACCCCTGTCTCTACAGTCCTAGTTCCCCTTGGTCCTTGCATGCCTGATGGCAAGTGTGATAGTCATGTCTCAAGTACCTGGTGTACACAGAACAATCCCTGAGGAAGGGAGAGTGACTGGCCCAAGCCATGTGGCCAGTACCAGCAGATGAGCCTTTTCAACACAGCAGGAGTGTTCTCCAGGCTTTCAGAAGGCAATCACTGAAGCTATAAACTTGGTTATCTATAAATCATCACCACTGCACCTGGTAATTTGCTGTTTAAGCCCTGAAGGACAGAGGGTGGGCAGATGGTAGAGAGGCATACAAAGAACTTCCCTAACAAAGCAATAGTAATGAAACATACGCTGTTTCAGAGGACTACTTTTAATGTAGTATTTTGTACACCAAAGCAACATCTTATTTGTCACCCACCATAATTATGGTGAAATACCATAACAGGTATGAGAGCAGATCCCAGGGTAGTGCACAACACCTGCCAAATATAAATATGCTGTATTATTCAACATGTCCACTTCTTTGTCACATTTAAGTGGTTTAAATGATCGCTGATGTATCTGTGCTCAGGAAACTTGGCTTGTTTCAGGCTTTTGAAAGCTTCCCACTTGGCACGTCTCTCTTCAGTGTTGTGTTTGTATTCCTGTTCCTGTGTCAGGTAAGGCTGGCTGAGCCAATATTCATTCTCTGCTTCAATTTCCAACCTTCGGATCATTGCTTGCTTCATTGAAATGGTAACCTGTCTTGGTCGCCTGTACTTCCCAATCCATTGTTTCCCAGGAATTCTCTTCCGCAGTAATACTGTTGTTAAAAACATTTTGCCTTAAAACATAAACAGAAATATAAAATACTCATTACCTTAGGGACAAAAATAAAACTTTGACAAGAAAGATTAAAAGCTCTGCATTCACTCCACTGCCTTTCAGCTGGCTGGTTTGAAGGTTTAAGCTCAGAGCCGGGTACTCACAAACCATCACACACAGCAGGCAGCACAAGGCCAGACACACTTGAAACTTAACAATCAGAAAAAGGGAGTTGAGAATTATGTAACTTATGAATTTATTCAGTTATCCTTACACTGCAATTAAAGCATATCCTCCCTAAATTATTTAAGAAAAATCCAATCACAGATATTCAAGAATGAAGGGTTCACTTCCCTCATGCCTTCTTCAAATAGCTGTGTTGTCAAAACAGTATTGCCAGTTCTGTCTTCTCGATCCAAATCTGGCCTTTCCTCAGCATGAGGTTTTGGACTACAGTCTCTCCGTAAACTGATTAGTATGTAATTACCTAGTCTGTATCCTGGCCGAGGGAAATCTGGTTGCTAGGGAGAAGCAATATCCTGAATTAGACCAAGTGGCGTAAGCGGAAAGCACCAACAGACCCTGACACAACACGCTGGGTGTAAGGGGCAGGAAGACCGAATGACGTTTAAACTTCACAGAAATGCTCTTTGTTCATCAGTCCCACACCCGCTAATGTCCAGGGCTTCACATTACAGCGAATTTCATCAGCTTTAGAGAATCACTGAATACGCGGAGTTGGAAGGGACCCACAAGGATCATCGAGTCCCCCTGGCCCTGCACACGACATCCTCAGGAACCACGCCACGTACCTGAGAGTTGTCCAAACCCTTCATGAACCGTCAGCTTTGCTGCCGTGACAAGTCACCTAAGCACTTCCAGCACGGCACACACCGGCACTGCCGCTAACAGAAGCCACCCCACCCCGTTCCCACGGTGCACGCCGGTGTCCCACTCTCCGGCCCGACTGAGAAGCGGATCCGCGGCGGCTCCGCCGCGCCAGGGCCCGTCCCGGCCCCCCGCGCCGGCACGCGGGAGCGGCCAAGATGGCGGCGGCGGGCGGGGCGCGGCTCTCGCGAGAGGCGGCGGCGGGCGGGGCGCGGCTCTCGCGAGAGGCGGCGGCGGGCGGGGCGCGGCTCTCGCGAGAGGCGGCGGCGGGCGGGGCGCGGCGGCGCCAATGGGGCTCGCGCCGGCGGCAGTTTGAAGGCCCCGGCGGCGCGCGCGGCCCGGCCCCGCCGCCTCCGCGCCCCTCACGGAGCCATGGCCGTGACCGGCGCCTTCTTCGGCAAGCTGCGGGAGCTGGCCCTCACGGTGGAGAAGGAGGTGAAGCAGCTGCAGCAGGCCCTGCGCCGGGAGGACGCGGGTAAGGGCAGCCCGCGGCCGTAGGCCGGTGGCTCCGCGGCTGTTCTCGGGGCCCCTGGCTCGGTTTGCGTTCCTGCCCGCCGCTGCCCCCGCGCTCCGCTGGGAGCGCCCCCGGCGGGCCCGGAGCTCAGCCTGCGGCTTGCTCGGGCTCCTCCTGGTCTCTCTGAGCTCCTTTGTGGGTGTGTGGCTGAGTTTTCTTATCACGGAGAAAAACAGTGACTGGGATGAAATGGGACTCACGTTCTTGCTTCTTTTTCTTTTTTTCGTGGATCGATGTAGGAAAACATTTGCAGGACATATTCTCTCTGGACGGATAGCTCAGGCTTCTAATTGTGTTTATCTCTATGCTACGTCTTGTCACGTAGCAGGTGCCCTCTGCTATACTGTTTGCATCAGCCTTGGTTTGCAGTTTAAAAAGTAATGTCTGCTGTGTTGTGTACGTGAGCGATGCATCTGCCCACGGGCAAATACGATGGAAGAATTCAATTTTCTGCTGATTTTTTTTTTTTCCACTGGTCTCTATATCGCCATTTGTCCAATTTCATCTGACCTCTTTAATGATAAAATTTTAACACAAGCAATTCTTGACAGCCTAGGGTCATATTTGTTTTATCAATATCTGTCATATACAGCATTAGCTGCAATCTTGAAGTGAAAGCCCAGGCAATTTCTCTGTGGAGTTTAACACATTGTACAAAGAACAGTTTTTTGCTGTGTCAAGTACCTGACATGAACTAGTTCTCTTTGGTTTTGTCTATATGGACTCTCTTTCTCTAATGTATGCTTCCAACATCTCTAATATTATAGAAGCATAAAATGGTTTGAATTGGAACAGACCTTAAAGATCACCTAGTTCCAATCCCCTGCCATGGGTAGGGACACCTTCCACTAGACCAAGTTGCTCAGAGCCCCATCCAGCCTGTGCTTGAACACTTCCAGAGATGGGGCAGCCACAGCTTCTCTGGGCAGCCTGTTCCAGAGCCTCATCATTCTCACAGCAAAGAACTTCCTCCTAATAGCTAATCTAAATCTTCTCTCTCTTTGTATGAATCCATTCCCCCTTGCCCTGTCAGTACCTGCCTTTGTAAAAAAAGTCCTCCTCCATCTTTTAGGTACTGGAAGTTCCCTTCAGGTACTGGAAGGCTGCAATTAGTTCATCCTGAAGCAGCCTCTCTTCTAGGCTGAACAATTCCAATTCTCTCAGCCTTTCCTTGCAGGAGAGGAGCTCCATCCCTCTAAACATCCTGGTGTCCCTCCACTGTACTCAGTCCAGCAGGTCCCTGTCCTCCTTGTGCTGTGACCCCGGAGCTGATGCAGCCCTGCAGGTGGGGTCTGAGCAGAGCAGAGGGGCAGAATCCCCTCCCTGGCCCTGCTGCCCACCTGTGGATGCAGCCCGGGACACATTTGAGCTTTCTGGGCTGGCTGTGGATGCACACTGACAGCTCATGGCCAGCCTCTCTTCTGCTAATACAGGAGATTACATTCATTCACCGTGTAGAATGCTATTTTCATGCTAAAACACTAAGACACCTCTTTTACTTTCTAAACTCTTTTATGTGAACATTCATCGTGAAGACTGTGAAGATGAATCTCCAATAGCAATCTTGCATGACCTCCATTGTGAAGTCAAGACTCAGAAGGTAATATCATTGCCTGCTTCCTTCTTGAAAAATTATATGTGTGTGCATGTTCCATAAACTTGTGGTTCTGTTTTGGTCATTAAGTCACAATTCAACTTCATTAGTCAGTAGTTATAACCCTTATTTTTACTCACATCTAAGTCCTCATAATGGCCATGGATATTGGGGTAATGCTCAAAAAACTTGTGGGCTACCCAAAGTAAGTTTAGGAATGTTTCTTAGTTTGCAGTCACTACTGTCGCTCATGTAAGCAGGGAACAAAGGTTACAAGGAAGTTGGAGTGGTGCCAAGGTATGAGGAGAATGATTCTGGAACAGCAGCTCCCAACAAAAGAGACAAGCTTGCTTGTCTTCCATAACCAGCCTTTAGAATAAAATCAGTCTTCACAGAAGTTTCAGTACCTTCAGCCATTCAGTTAAATTTGTGAAAAAAGTTGTCTATTCCTAATACATAAGTAGAAAAAATGGGTTATAGAAATGAGCAATATAGAAATAATTGAGTGATATAACAATGAAGTTGACTTTCTGCTCTGCACTAGTTCTTTGTACATATGGAGTAAGAGTCTGTACTAATTGCTCTTACCTCATATTTTTCCAGAGTAAATGTATATAGTTTCCTTGGCAAGGTTACCAGTAAGTAGTTATCATTTTGTGAGCTATCGTTACAGTTACTTTTGTAAGTTTTCATACACTTAGGCTCTGTATATTCCTGGTATTCCATAGATGTATATGCCTGTTGGTTTTCAGGTATAGAAAAGACCTAAATTTGCTGCTTATCTTCATCTGAATTGCAATTAAATACTTCCAAAATGCTTCATGTGTAAACAACTATCATGATGATTTGAAAAACACTATTTCTATGTTCCCTTCTGTGTCCCCAAAGGAAGATATTAGTGCCAGTCTTGGTAAGATTTCCAATGAAAATAAAGCAGTTCATGAGTTTATGAAGGCAAGTGAAATCTTGATAGAAAGAAATGCAGCAGATCTTGGAAAAATAAGAGAGCATTTCCAGAAATATGGCTACAAACCACATGTCGAAGGCTCTACAGGTAATATTTCTTGTTAGTACAGTATGTGCAAAAAAGTATCATTTTTATAAAATGTTTCTCTTTAACTATGTGTATATTTCTATTAATTAGGAGATCAAGTACATCCATGCTATTTGCTTTTTAATAATATCCAGAGGGTAAAAGATTTGGTTGTGATTAGCACTGTAGGAATTAACTAAAACACAAACACTTGAAATTAGATCTTCTGGCATGCCGTTAGGTTAGTGTCTGTTGGGTTTTGGGGTTTTTTTCAGTAATAAATGTATTCAGAAAACATGTTAGCAAGCATGTTTTCATAACCCAGAGAATTATACTGCTTCAACTTCTCATGCATGAGGAACTATTGTAGATGCATCTGAGTTGGTTTGTGTTCACATGTGATGGTTTCATTAACTTAAATCACCCTAGAGAAAATCCTAAAATGTCTGTTTCACAGCATAAATGGGACCAGAGAAGAATGCTGGGGTATTAGGTGGCATGTGACAAGCAGTAGCACCTTGATCATTGGAGGGGAAGGAGGTCCTTAATCCAGTCAGAAAATATACATAGAACTCTCTGAAAAATCCAGATATGCCAAATTACTTAAAGTATTATACCTGTCTATACTACACTTACTCCTTTTGTTATCAAGGGCCCAATCAGACTTCAAAAAGCTTTTGACGTGGTCTTAACTTTCTCTGATTATTATCCAGTCATTACACAAAACAAAATTATGGTTGTGAACCATATTGATGTCCAAGTTAAGCTCCTATAGCTGTTTTACACAGATAGGGCAGAAGACTCTGATTTTTTATAGTACCTTTCTTCCTATACCCTCTTTGCTTTTAAAGAAGTCTCCAAACAGAGCTACAAGGTTAGATTATTTTTTAAGTTGTATTTTTAAGCCAAGTGCGTCTGCAGACATATCACTGCACATCAGAAGGTATATTACTTTAAATAGCCTCCCTCCCCCTACCCACCTCACAGATTCAATTAAGTTGATTGATCTGAATCATCAAGTTCACTTGGTGGCTGCACACCACCGTGTCAACCAGACCATGGCACTGAGTGCCATGTCCAGTCTTTCCTTAAGCACCTCCAGGGACAGTGACTCCACCACCTCCCTGGGAAGTCATTCCAATGTCTAATTACCCTTTCTGTGAAAAAATTCTTGCTAATGTCCTACCTGAATCTTCCCTGGTGCATCTTAAGACTGTGTCTTCTGGTCCTATCACTTGTTACTTGTGAGAAGAGCCTGACCCCCACCTGGCCACACCCTCCTGTCAGGCAGCTGTGGACAGTGGTGAGGTCTCCCCTGAGCTTCCCTTCCTCCAGGCTAAGCAACCCCAGCTCCCTCAGCTGCTCCTCACAGGAATTGTGCTCCAGATCCTTCACCATTTTAATTGTCCTTTACTTACTACATCATGCAGAAATTCACAAACATTTTGGGTTGTTTGCTTTATCTAACTCCAAAGATGTACAAATTACGCATTTACATACTTTTGCAGTCAACTACTGTTACTGAAAAAGCTGTCTCCTTTCACAAGTTCTTAGTTGCTGCTTCACAACCTTTCCTCAATACTGTTTTTCTGAAGAATGGGCATTTTAGTACTGTATGCAGCCTTTGCTCTTTCTCCAAAAACCTTTTCATCTCCATGCAGGGATAAAAATACACTTAGGTAAACATCTTTTAATTTAATTTTCCCTAGAAATAATATTTACCAATAGAGTGAAACTCAGTAAATGTGTGACTTATAAATATAGCTTAGCCATATAAGGTTTTGATACCTGTTGTAACTTCAGGTTCAGTACTTTAAAGGGAAAGAAGGAATCTATTTTTTACAACAACAAGTAAAAGAACTTGAATACTGGGGAAGTGTTGCAATTTATTTTATAAATTCTTAAAACAAACTTCTGATGTATTTTTTTTTTCATTTCTTTTCTTAAAAAGAAGAGGAGGATGAAGCTGACAGTGAATCAGCAATGTCTGTGCAGAATAAATCTGATGACGAAAAAGCAAATGATGTACCTCACC